TAAAAGTTATAATAACGAAAATAATAATGATGATGACGATGAAAATTATGGTCTGTTGTTGTATCTTAAGAATTTATCATCCAAACTTATTCCAATGAAGAGACTAGCTTTAAACGGTCTGCTCGTTCGTGTGTGTGTCTGTGTGTGTGTGTGTGTGTGTGTGTGTGTGTGTGTGTGTGTGTGTGTGTGTGGTATTGTATATGTTTGTTTATAACTTCTTAGGTCTTATCCAACTAAGAAACAGACTGGTTTCTCATCTAATTGAAGGCTCTGATAGGCTGGCCTATACAAATTCTCTCGACCAATCAGGTCAGTTTAATTTATGCCCTGAACAATCAGGTTATTTGTTGTTATCAATCTATTTTTAGGCACTGGAAATTTGCCAAAAGTTATAAATAACGACAGGATGTGCGGATATTGCGAGCAGAAATTGAACTGTTGTCTCTATTTAAGGTTAGTTTGTTGGTTCATAGATTGATTGATTGATTAATTAATTAATTAATTGATTGATTGATCGATTGATTGATTAATTGATTGACTGATTAATTGATTGATTATCATAATCAACACAGATGTTACGAGTCGCCATCATTGTCAGCACCCATAAACCTACCAGCCAATCACAACATGATCGGCCTGACCAATAGCGTCATTTCTCATTTGAGCCACGGCCATTTGGAATTTTTTAAGCAATTTTGTAGCGCACTACATTTAGAAAATTTACCACCACCACTACCATCGTCGTCGTCAGCGTCATCACTTAATGCTGTTTCTAGCGTTTGGTTGTTAAAGCCTAGTCAAAGGTAATGACGATTATTATTATTAGTATTATTTATATTATTATTATTATTATTGTTGTTGTTGTATTTTATTATTATTATTGCTATTATCCATCATTATTATCGTTAATTATTTTGCAGAGTCAGTAAGGGCCTGTGCATAAGAAAGTTGTTGCTCCGATCAAAGGACGATGATGATAATGATAATAATAATAATGAGAATAATAATAATAATGAGAATAATAATAATAATGAGAATAATAATGATGATGATGAGAGTGACGATGACTGTGGTATTGAGAGTAATATGTATACATTTAGATTAAGGTTCATGTTGTCGTCATCACTACTAACATCACCACCACTATCTCAATCATCATTATCATCATCGTCGTCGGTATTACATCCACCATCATCATCATCATTAAAACCAAGTCGTCATCATCATCGTCGTCTTCGTCAGTTCAATGATACACTGATTGTTGCTGGAGACAGAGTTATAATAAGCCGGGATGATGATGATGATGAATGTAATAATAATAATAATAATAATAATAATTATAATAATAATGGCAATAATAATAATAATAGTAATAATAAAAGAATCGCAGTTACGACTGGAATTGTGGTTAAGATGAGTAGAAATAGAAGAATGATGAAGGATAAGAAGAAAATGATGATGACGATGTCGAAGAGTAGTAATTTTGATGATGATGGTGATGTCCGTGATAGCGATGATAATAATGGTGGTGGTGGTGATGATGATGGTGGATTTTTCATCGAGGTTCTCGCCGAGAAGTTAGTAGCGTGTGGGCTAAAATTTTAGTGATGATGATGTTGTTGAATGTGATGATGTTGTTGTTGAGTGTGATGATAATGTTGTTGTTGATTATGATAATGATGTTGTTGTTGATTGTGATGATAATGTTGTTGTTGATTGTGATGATGATGTTGTTGTTGATTGTGATGATGATGTTGATCTATATATCGTTTGCAGCTCGTTGGCCCAACACAGAATGTCAACCACAACCAACAACAACAAGAACAACATTCAGTCACAGCCGAAATTTAGAATCGATAAATGTGACCTATTCAACAACTTATCAATCAACCTATCAAACGTATCTCGATTGATGATGGATGATGATATCAGGTTATTATTACTATTATTATTATTTTCATTACTTTATTATTATTATCATTACTTTATTTATTATTAGTTTGTTATTATTATTTCTTTATAATAATAACGATAATTATTATTATTATTTGCAGTAAAAAGTTGAGGAGGCTAATTATAGATCTGGAAAAACCAGAGTTCGAAGCTAAACTTCCCAGTTCCATCCTGTCTAAAAGTAAATTGTTATAATTATCTTTTTATTATTATTATTATTATTATTATTATTATTATTTTCTATTTTAAGTTAGGCCCCACATAAAATCAATGAACCAATCACAGAGGGCCGCCATCCTGAAGGTCGTCATGTGTAAGGATTACGTGCTGATTAAGGGCTTTCCCGGGACAGGTTATTATTATTATTGTTGTTATTATTGTTATTATTATTATTATTATTTTTGTTGTTGAAACAACGCTGTTGTTGTTATTATTATTGGTGTTGTTGTTATGGTTGTTGTTTTAGGAAAAACAACGACAATCGCGACGATGGTGGAGGTCTTGATTGGACTGGGCTGCAGTGTCCTGCTGACGAGTTACACGCATTCCGCCATCGACAATATCCTCATCAAGTTGATTGAGGTGGTTTTCATCTTCTTCTTGCCGGCGATGATGAACTCTGATGACGACCTCTGATGATGACCTTTGATGACGACCTTTTATAATGACTTTTGAAGATGCCGATGTGAATTTTTACTACTTTAAAATCGCCATCTCGTTCGTCATAACCGCCCACAACTATCGACATATTTATAATCTGCTTTTCCATAACCTTTATCATTATCAATAGGCGAAGGTCGATGTCTTAAAATTAGGGCGCGCTGAAAGGTCACATCCCAAAGTGGCACCATTTTTAGACACCGCATTGACTAGAGAAATTAGGTCGCCCGAAGATTTGGGCAAATTCTATCATTCCAAGGTTATTATTATATTTGTCGTTACGAGTTTTGCTGAGTTAAGAAGAGAGAGAGAGAGAGAGAGAGAGAGAGAGAGAGAGAGGAGAGGCAGAGTGACAGACATAAAAACACACACACCACACGTGCAGAAAGTGGTAGCAGTGACTTGTCTGGCCACATCAAACCACCCGCTGTTCAGATCTTCTAGAAAATTCGACGTCTGCATAGTGGATGAATCATCACAGGTCTTGCTGGCCTCTTGTCTGGGTGCCATTTCGGCTTGCCATAGATTTGTTCTCGTCGGTGATCCGAAACAACTGCCACCTATTGTTAGAGATAAGGAGGCCAGGTTGGTCGAAGTTTTTTTCTTCATTCCTAATTATTCTGACACGATATTTTATTACGAAATTTTTCATCCAATAGGAAGCTGGGCTTAGCTGAGAGTCTTTTTGATAGGCTAGACGGACGAGGTGCCACGATGCGATTGGACGTTCAGTATCGAATGAATAGCGAGATAATGAGACTGTGCAATCAGCTGGTTTACGACGGCCAATTAAAATGCGCGTCGGAGGAAGTTGCTGGGGCCAAACTTAAAATCCGACCTGAAGTTAGTGAATAGTAGTAAGCCCGCATATTTTCTATTTGTGTACTTGAATTGTTTAAACTCTCTGCAGTTTCATGCCAAGTTCAGTGACCTACTTTCCTGTGATTGGCTGAGGGCTTGTTTCGACGTCACAGATGGTTATGAGGTCGTCTTCTTGAATACGTGTGGATGCCTGATTAATAATAATAATAATAATAATAATAATAATAATATTGGTAATAATAAGAATCATAAAAATGTCGTCAACCAATTAGAAGCTTGGATTGTTTGTCTAATTGCTCGTCTGATGATCGAGGTTACATGATGGCGATGATGATAATTGTGATGACATTGTATGTAAATGATTCGTTTATTCATTCATTGGTTGGCTGGCTGGCTGATTGATTGATTGATTGATTGATTGATTGATTGATTGATTGATTGATTGATTGATTGATTGATTGATTGATTGATTGATTGATTGATTGATTGATTGACAGACTGGACAGATACAAGATGAAATTGGAATCATATCTCCGTACAGGGCTCAGGTTGACTACATCAAACAACAACTCGCCAAAAATTCGGTTCGATACATATCTTAACCGTTATCATTTCATAATATAATAATGATATAATAATTAAATAATATTATTATTATTAATAAAAAACCCAAGGTCAGGCATATCGAGGTCAATTCAGTTGACCAGTTTCAAGGTCGCGATAAGGAGGTC